GCATAAGCATAAGGAAATTGATTGGTCCATTTCCTTATGCATTTGCTTATGCTTATATATAGACCAATCAATTTCCTTATGCTTATGCGTTATGCTTTATGTAAAAGTCTGTGCTCCGGCCTTATCTATCTGCTTTGTACTATCCTGTTTTAGTGCAGCTAAGGCCATATCCAGACAAACTTGCATAATCGCATAAAGGTATGCATAAAGAAATTGATTGGTCTATTTCCTTATGCATTTGTTTATGCGATTATGCAAGTTTGTCTGGATAGGCCCTTAGTCCGTTCTTATTTCGAGATTACCTTAGGTTTGTTCGCGTACATGCCTTAACATGCTCCTACTTGCTGCAATACGCTCCAATCTATCTATAGTATACGTGACGTAATACTATAGATTGGAGCGTATTGGAGCGAGTAGCAACATGTTGGAGCATGCGACGCGAACAAAGCTGATGTGAAACTGTCTATTGTTTCTAGTATATGTTATGTATACTATAGACAATAGGCAGAGAGTTTCACACAGTGTGTGGTTTCCAAACGCCGCTTTATTGGTAAAGTATCCACACGTAAAGAATTCACTGAAAAATCTACCAATCACAAATCCAAAATGAAGGCGCCATGTTGTGGCGTTCTCTCTTGCGCAGTCTTTCTATAGGAAGTTTACACGGAAAGATGCGTTTTAATATTATTATTATTCGATGGTAAAGCCGAGAGCACAAGCTTTTACATAAAGCATAACGCATAAGCATAAGGAAATTGATTGGTCTATATATAAGCATAAGCAAATGCATAAGGAAATGGACCAATCAATTTCCTTATGCTTATGCGTTTTGCTTTATGCAAAAGTCTGTGCTCCGGCCATAACGCTTTTCATTTTTAGGATTTTTTCGTACATTTTGCAATTTATAAAAGAAACAAATATAACAAGAGCAATATAAATTTTCTATAGAGATAATGAAAACGCTTGGTTGGTGACACTGGTCGAGTAGGAACTTTCGGTACTCGTGAACAATTGTGGGAAGTGGCTTTCGCTGACATCGTAACCTTACGATTGACAATTAGTGCGGTTTATTGTATATTATTAGTGCTTCACCGGGCATTTTGAAATAGTATCGTGTTATATTACGTCACCGAGTGTACCGTGTTCGTGTACGCCTAGTGTTATTAATATTCCTTTATTCTTGTTGTCATAGTTTGCATCGTTGTATCTTGGTTAGAAAAGGGTAGGAAGGTTAATTCCGGCGATGGGAAACGTTCACACCTGCGGCCCAAACGAAGCTCTCGTGGTATCAGGTAAGTGCTTTAACTTTCGATGGATTTGGTGCAATCTCAAGCACTGCGACATGTAATTCGGAGCTGCTTTGCTTGACAAATTGGCGATATTATTGAGTTGTTGATCTACAGTGACAGTTTGACACTGTATTTGACTGTAAACAATTTGAGTCCACACAGACGAAAAATATAATTTGTAAAACGTTTGAAATCTTAAATTGTAAACTTTTGATCTTACAGATTCGATTGTAAAGTCCAATCTACAATGTGCTTTTTAATTTTTGTTTTCCGCCTTTTTGCCTTTATGTAAGGGCATATTTTTCTTTGGAAATTCAGAAAGAAAAAATTGTAAATTACAGTGTTTCTTAACTCCATGCGACAAATACATAAAAACAAAAATACGAAAGGCAGAGAGCAAGAAACAATACGCAAGAAGCACATTGTAGATCAGGCCTAAGATTTTAGCACTTTGGACAATGATATAGACATTGTTTGCGATAATTTTTGAAAGATCCTCCTGTTTAAAACGAAGTAAAAGATTGAGTAAAAGAAAGACTGAAAGGAAAAAGCTTAGTACTGCATCTCGAAAGTATCTAAAAGCAGACAGAATCTATAAATGAAAAAGAAATGTTAATTAAGAAAGAAAAAGTTGAATGTACATTGCCTAGGATGATATTTCCTCATGTTCCTATGTTCTATTAAGTAACGAAGATCAAAATTTCCCAATAAATAATATAACAAACTTTTATAATTTGTTTATGATTTTTTCATAAGAAAGAATATCATGTATTAGGTATTATTACATCCTATAGTCATTAAAATATGTGTAAAGCTGACGCATTATTTTATGGAAACTTATAAAGTATTAAAAATTTCTTATTAATTTTTTTTTCTTTTTGAATAGTTTTGTAATTTTGTAGTTTTTAATAAATAAAAAAAAATTTTCATTATTAGACAAAGAAAGTGATTCCTGTCAAACTGTCACTTCAAATGTCAGATTTATCATGCGGCTTAATTTATTTCTCCAAAATTTTTTATCAATTTTTGTCAGATTGTAAAAATTTTATGAGAATTCTACACATGAGTTTTGGAAAGAATTTTGATTACTAAAAACTAAAAATATCAATTATAATTGAATCTTTTTATTAAAAATAAAACAAAACTCTTAATGAATTGCCATAATACATTGACTTTCCTATAATATGTCATACTGTAACTTTCTTAAACACAGGAAGCGTAATTTCTTATCTCTTCATGATTTTTTAAGATAGTTTTAAACATACTTTTCTTTCTTTCTTTTTAAAGTACATAAAATGTTACTAAAACATAATTGTGTCATAATTCATAATAATTAACAAATACTCATGTAATAATGTAGTTTTGTATTATGCGTATCGTATAATAACAAAACTTTGATGAATATTCTTATCAAAAATAATCTATAAGAGCTTATTTTAAACCGGTTTAAAAAATTTTGTCTTATAAAAGCTTCCTATACATACATTGTACATACATACATATATAGATATACACACACACACACACACACACACACACACACACACACACACACACACACACACACACACACACACACATGCAATATATAGATGCAGCGTTTATTTTTAAAATATTCTAAATTATTACTGTAAAAAAACTATATATATAATATAATATAAATAAACGCTGCAATTTTTTAGAAACTTTGTTAATATATAAATGAAGTGTTTCTGTGGAGTTTTTCTGTGCCATTCTAGACGTTATCTGTTTGCGCCAGTTTCGCGCGCAAATAGGCGGGAAGGGAAACTATGACTCATCTCCCCTTTTACATCACGACTGAAACGTGCTGCCGGCAGGCGACATCGTTACTTGTTATATGAGAATATTCGTTGTCTTTTTCTCATTGTAATCGCTTCTCTTATCATTAATCCATTTGCGAGTACCTCGATGCGTGATACGCGAAACGCGAATAAAAGGCGGATAATTTTTCCTGCGATTACAAATTGCTTGCGTCACTAACAAGGACTGACGAGGACAATCGATCGAATAGATATTCTTGCGCAACAATTATTGTTCTAGTTTATCGGCATTAATGCTGACAATGAGTCAGTATTATAACTACGTACCGATAATAATTTTGCATGATTAATATTAATTGTTAATAATAATTGAATGCTAATATTAATCTGACATGAAGAAAACAATTAGCTTTAATTGAATTAGTTGAAAAAGAGAGCTATTACTGAAATGTTACAAATTTACATTATAGCGGACACCAAACATTTCTTACAATTAGTTTTACAAAACTTTTATAAGAAAGTTTATCTTTTATAAGAAAACATATAATTATCTTGAGAAGATACAACAACTTTTCTAAAAATCTTTAAATGATTTTTTTTCTAAAATTTATTACTTTTTATTTATTTATTTTCAGTCTCTTAATTTCAATTTAGCATCGGTTTATATTTACCAATTTGTCATTAAACAGTCGATAACACTTGTACGTGCAAAATTCAACACTCCCCCTAATTATACATAATTTTTAAACGACCATATAAAGAATACATTGCGTGGGATAACTCTTACGATCAAGCATGTCTATGTGTTTATGCACGTCTGCCCCTTTCATTGATGACTTCGGTGAATAAAAATGAAAATTAAACAACATTCTATCTATACAATGTAAACGTTGCGTTATTATGTAATGTAAATGACAAAGAACGATTGAATGACACAAAATTATCTATACAATTGTGTTTTTTATCTCAAAATCTTTAAATTAGTTGCAAATTCAAAGTTTGTACGAACAATATATATATAAGTTGGCATTTTTAGATTCTTACTTTAAGATAGAAGTTAAGGGACATTGGCTTTTCTATAGCTGTGTTTGTTTAGTCCACCATTTTACACACGATTACGATTCATACAATTATTTTTCGAAATTGCCTGCGAGTCTCGCGTATTGGAAAGAGTGAATAATGCGCTTACAATGCGCTCTTCCAATTTTCCTTAATCATGTCCGCAGCTTTCTCGCCAATCATGAAAATTCCCGCGTTTACATGACCGATAGGCATCGTAGGCATAATCGAAGCGTCCACTACTCTGAGTCCCTTAATGCCATACACTCTCAGTTGCGGATCGACAACCGCGTTAGCGTCCGTTTGAGGTCCCATTTTAACGGTCCCTACCTCGTGATTCATCATGGATGGCAAATGCTTGATAGCACAGCGCCAGTAATCATCAGTATTAAATTCAAATTGTCTGCAGCCTGGAATTTTGATATCATGTAATCGGCTCCCGTAAGCCTGAAAGATTTCGGTCCTGGATATATTGATGGCGTGTTTCACTCCTTCCAGAATGATCTCTAGATCGGCCGGATGGCTGAAGAAATTCGGATCCATTTCGGGCGGCTCGAATGGATCCTTGGATCGCAATGTAAGACGGCCGACGCTTCTGGGATATTGAACGATCGGCCAGATCGACCAGGCTTCCTGATTTTCGATGGGCTTGTACACAGTGTTGTACAGATTATCTGAGATTCTCAAGGCTTTCCTCAGTACCTGGCCGTTGTCCGAATGCAAAGAGCCAGATGCGAAGAGAAGCTCAATGTCCGGTCTTTCGTCAGGAGCATATTTGGTTCTCATAAATGCTAGCGCCTCGGCACCTCCTGGGATTGTCATCAAACTGTCTCTATGCAAGATATACCTGAGAAGTACACTGGGATTCAGGAGCTTATTCTGCAGCAGTGACACGCTCTGATTTACCATGAAAGTCAGCCCCAGGAAACCAATATGTTCATACATATTGTAACCGACCTTAGAGTCCTGAATCACTGGGATGCCCAGCTCTTTCAAATGGTCTCCAGGCCCGATTCCTGACAACATCAGCAACTTGGCTGAGTCGATCGTACCGGCGGATAGTAAAACTTCCTTCGAGCAGGTCACCTTCTTCCATATGCCGTTCTTGATATATTCGACGCCGTACGCACGCTTATTTGCGTCGATTAGTACTTTGACCACTCTCGCGCCAGTGATGATTTCCAAGTTTGGTCGATTGATTCGCTGGAGATAAGCTTTGGCGGCGCTGCAACGCGTTCCACGATTCATGTTCACCTGGATATACGAAAAACCTATCTGATCCTGTCCGTTGTAGTCCACGATTTTGTAGCCTAGTTCTCGACCAGCTTTTAGAAATGCAGTCGCCACTTTCGTGTGATATGGCACATATTCCACGCACAAATAACCAGTTTCACCGTGGTATGAAGAGTTCTTGATACCTAAGCGTAAGAAATAGCTTGATTATTTTACATATTCAATACGTGTGTGTCACGAGAGTTTTATTTTTCCACTGTGAGTCTGTTCGATTTGTTCGATTTAGAAAGAATTGTTTCCATATTGTATAGTATCTATGTATTTGTACATTTATCTCTCGTTTGAATAGAGCTTTTAATCTAAAATTTGGAACAAAATGTTTTAAGAAAATATACACATATATTTGAGCCTGAGAAAAATATCTTCAAAATGTAGAAATAAAAAAAATGACAAAAAAAAATTATAAATTTTTCTCAACAATATCGGAAAAAGTATAATTTTGCTATTTGTAATTAGCAATGAAATTTAATAGATTTTTTAAACTGGAATTAATTGCTTTCTTATATTTTACGGGATAGAGTTTCAGCAGAAAAGTACGACTTACCTGGTACATTAAATCTTTCACTTTTTTTAAAATACGGGAGAACATCTGCGTAGGACCAGCCCACGTTGCCCAGATTAGCCCATTTATCATAATCCAATTTATTGCCACGTGTGTGGATCATGTAGTTTAAAGTACTTGTACCACCCAAAGCTTTGCCTCGTGGCCAGGCGCACTGATTATCTATCATTCCTAAACAGGCGTTCTTCTGAGGTGTCACCTTGTATCCCCAGTTGTAATCAGACAATTGGAAATAGCCGACCAGTATTGGAATCTGATTGAGGAGACTTTGCGCGTATCCCGCTTCCAGTAAGAGAACTCTCCAATTTTTGTTCTCTGATAGACGATTGGCTAATACGGAACCTGCCGATCCAGCTCCTACGATGATAAAGTCGTACTCGCTTGCGAATCCGGAATTTGTTGTAGTTGGATGCACGGAGTTTTCGACGAGAAGACCATGAGTGTCGTCGTGACATATCGACGCGATAATGATGAGTGATAATAAAATCCTCATACTGTATAACGTTCTGCAATATTGTAGTTTTAAACGCATCTTATGTAGATGATTCATCGATATCGAATGTAAATATGCATACATACGCTAAGTACGCTTCCTCTTCCGACTTCTTAAGAATTAAATCAGTAGAATTGAATGGAATTTATTGTACAATTTATTACTCTTCTTGTACTATTTTGTACCACCAAAAATAATTTTGTACCCTGCGTCATTTAAGAAAAAATCATGGTTTTGCTAACATAATATAAAGCTACACAATAAGTGATAAATAATGTAATAATTTGACTTTACTAATCAAATTAAATTCTTAACAGATCGGAGGAGAATGATCTTATTCTTGAGGCTAGTTGAAAGAAATAAGGGTTGTTTTAAGGAGATAATAGAAATATTTCGATTTGTTTTGTGATACAAATTAGTACAAATTCAGCACTAATTGTATCTGCTTTGTTTTATTTATTTTTATTTTTTTTATTTTGCTTGCTTCATAGTAAATTAGCAGCGCCACGATTTTTTCTTAAGTGGCACGGGATACAAAATTATTTTTTGCGTTATAAATTAGTGCAAAATAAGTTCTTAATAATCCACTAGGTTGCATTCGATTCTGCTGATTTGGTCTTGCTAGCTTATAAGAGGTAATATATATTGTGCACTTTTCAGTAATAAATATTGAGGCCGTTATTACGAAATAAAGATGATTTTTAAAAAGGGAAAAGAAAGAAAAGAAATAAAATTTATAAAATTAATTGAACGGCAGTCTTTCGCCGCTATATCCTCTACACACTCACGATCTACATATGTCTTACAATTTTAAGATTGTACATACTGATTTTTTTGCAAGCCAACAGATGCAAATATTAATATATAATACAACCAAATAAGCATAAGTTGTTTTTGTATGTAAAACTGTTTTTCTTGGCAACTACGTAATAAATTGCAAGAAAAAAATATGCTCTTTATTTTTACTTAGTTTTCATTTTTTAGAAGAATCGCATTTTCTCATCAGTTCTACACGAGTTACAACATACGAGTTCCGAACATTTTATATTCTGTAAATATTATCGCGCTGCCACCGTAAATGTTTTAAACAAACAAATAGCATTTGCCATCGTACATTTATGTATATTGTAACATAAAGCATATTTCAAAACACATTTTACTATTTTTTTTTCTGTTGCACGCATAAAATTTTCGAGCGAAAATTTTTCTGTCAAGTTTTATTAAACCGAAAGAGTTTCTATCTGAGTCGTATTTTTGGAAGTAAAATGAGTTATAAATTTTATAAGCGAATATTACACGTCGTAATCCGTCCGTTTTTGGAGCGTCTACGAACCTGTGTGGAAAGCACGCGTATCGCAATCACGTATTCTTAGATTTTTTTTCTTGCACATGTATTTTTTGAAAAATTGTTCTTCGAAGCATTTCAGTTATGAACTTGTACAATTCTTTTGTAATTAGATAATCTACATACCGTTTGCGATAAGTATTTACGATCCACCGAAACGTCGTTTTTCTCTTTCTAATCGTCTTGCACTCAGCCGGTCGTCAGAATGTTGTCTAACTTGACGAGTTGTCTTGTATTTTTCTCTTCAGAAAGCCACACGACTGACCACCTTCTGTTTCAAAAGCTATCAGAGAAATGCAACTTTCTCGTTTCGTTCACGTAACGCTTACTGTAATGTTGCTTATCCTCCGATACCCCTTCTCAAGTTGCCACAGCAACATACATAGCTATATATACATATAATTTTATTTCGTGTGTATTATTTATCTCGTGTGTGTTACGTGCTTTCAATGATATTAAGTAATAACTTATTACAAAATTGACAGAAAAAATAGTTATCGTTGTCTAATAACATAGGAACGAATATCTGACAAGGAAAAGCTCTGAAATGTCCCCCATCAATTTTGACGGACTTTGAATATGTTGTAAAGTAGCTAAAAATAAAAGACACGTATTTTGTTATATGTACTTTTTCGCCCGTTTAGGGCTTGAAACAACCTCTACAAGCTGACATGGTATATTTAATTTTGAGAGAATATCGTGAAAACTGTAAGAGATATTAAAAAAATGTTTTAAATAAAAACAAATAAAAGAAAAGAGGATATTTGTGCCTAAAATTTTTTAATTATTATTAATTAATAAATTTTTAATTATTATTAATTAATAAATTAATAAATTTTAATTTTTAATTTTTAGTTATTATTTTGTACGTGCTTTATCTTTTCTTAAAAAATCTCTTCTTAAACATTTTTAAGCACGAATATCCTCTTTTCTTATATTTGTTATTATTTCGTACGTGCTTTATCTCTTCTTTACCTTTTTTAAATAAAAGTTGTATGATATTTAATCCTACAATTTTTGTTTTTACAAAAATTTTGAAATTTACAAAAATAAGGGAGGAAAGGGGGATATATAAAATTAGCTTAATGTCAAACTGAGTTTTGAACGTAAATTCCTGTTAAGCGCGGTACGAGCAGGACTACGGCTACGGACTACGGCAACAAATTAGCACATAATTAGCATTAAATTAATTAATAGATGCGACTTTATTTGGCGATTATGGAGGGGTTCGATTGAATAAGGATGTTGGATACAATCGCAAACGCAGTTATGAAGAATTAAGCAACAATATTAAAACGCTGATGCAATTATGCTATGTTCATGTTTGACGAAATAAGCTGAGGTTTTAATATTATTACTTAATTCTTCGTACAATTTTTTGTAACTGCGTTTGCAATTGTATCAGACTTATAATTTATGCACTGAAAATGGCTTAATCCAAAGGCAAAACGTTTGGTTTCATATTGTTTTTTACATTAATGTAAACAATAAACTATGAGCGCTAAGTCTCCTAGTTTTGGCTCTATGCTAGCTTTTAAATATATGTTAAATTACTTTGATGTTATTGATTATATAAATAATTCATCAAAATACTCTACACAAAATTCACTTATATTAAATATTCACTTATATTTCGTATCGTTTTACATAGCACATACACAATAGTAAGTAAATTTTTATATTGAATTTTTAAAGCACAAATGCTATGTAATTTTTTTATTAAAAATTTATTTAAATAATTGCATTTAATTTTGGTGAAAAAACTACACAATATGTCTAAGAAATTGATTTACTTGTGTACATTTTCTTATAAAAATTGCGCGGTTTGCAGGCGCTTATTTTTTTACAATGTCACGCAACAGGAATAGCAGAAATGTCAATGTATATCATTAGCATTATTTTATATATAAGGAGTGTCTGATAGCACAACTGCAAAAGAAATAACTTTATTTTTCTGTTAGATTTTATTTTTGAAAAAAATTACATTAGTCTGCGACCTTGTTTCGAGTATATATTGCTTATGATGTCAGATTATTCGTCAATCCTTTTTAATTAATATCTTAATTATTATTACGAAAATTACAAAACAGTAAAGGACTTTTTTGTTCAGTTTATCGCGCTTTATTCTCATAAGAACGTTGACACAAACATCATCAAACACTCTGTATACACATGTATTTTATTTCTTTGCAACTTTTATAATAACTTTTTAATAACTGTTTTATTGAATGAGACATGTATTTTTTTATTTATATGCTAGTAGCTACTGATAAAATAAATTTCATAATGCATGACATAAGATTACTGAAGGTAACTTACTATTAGGAAAATGTAAAAATATTACTGATCTTCCATTTTTTAAACCATTCTTTTCTTTTAGAGAAAGAAAAGCACTGTTTTCTTGATCATATACTGATTGTATATTGATTGTATACTGAGTATACTATTTCCTGAGTTATATTACAACTTAACATTTCCAAGATTTTGATCTTTAATGTTACAGAACGTGTATTTAAAAAACAAATATTCTATTTAATAGAATATATTTGATATTAACTAGTAATCTTTTTATCTCTTATTTTAAACATTACTTTGACATTTAAATATTAAATTGGCTATTTTTAGTAAGCACAAGATATCTCTTAAAGTTGATATTAACTTTTTGCTAATTGATAATAAGAATTGATTTATATATATTAGAAAAGATATACAGTCCCAGAATTCACAGACACGAAATGTACAGTGTGATTATCCGTGCTAGAAGAAATAACTTTTTCTTTGGCAAAATTGTGTCTGAACATTACTCTTTAAATGAAAGTAACTTTAAGCTAACGAATGAGCGTTCTAGGTTACGCATGAATCAGGAGCGGCGCGCATGGCGTGTGAGCGTGTACGCTATTTTACTATTTCGCTAAAGATTTTGTAAGAATTATGCATGATATCTAAATATCGCTATTAATGTATTAATGAAAATAAACATTATTTATGTAGCAAAGAAAATATTACTATTTTCTGAGAGGTGCCTCAACAACCCAGCCTATTTCTTATATAAAACGCTCCTGAGTCAGAGCTATCGGCGGCTCGGCCGCCAGCGGCCTGACGGTAGTGCAGGAACAGGAGGCGTCGTCTCGGGAACGCGCATGCGCGAAAAATCGGGCCAAATCTGGCTACACTGCTCGGGAATCGGCCCGAAATGTGCAACTAATTCCGAGCGCTGACCTAGAGTGCTCATTCGTTAGCTTAAAGTTGCTCTCATTTAAAAAGTAATGTTCAGACACAATTTTACCAGAGGAAAAAATTACTTCTTCTGACACGGATAATCACATTGTACATTCCGTATCCGCGAATTTTGGGACACTGTATATGATTTTATTAAATAAAAAAATATAATTATATGTTGCAAGCGTATAAATATCTGTATACATAGAATGATATATGAGATTATTTATCGATTTTGCATACAAAATATTTATTTTATATTAAAATATATCAAAATATAATATGAAGTATATAGGAAGACATTTATTTTTTTGTAATCGTATCATTGTGCGCAGAATAAATTTAGTGTGCAAAGAAAGTCATTTGCTTTCATTTAAATAACTTTGATATTTTTTAAACAATTAAAGATTACTTCTAAGTATTAGATTTGCTAAATGGAGCATGATATTTATAAAACATTTTTTATATAAGAAATAAAAAATTAAGATTCTTTACAATAATTTACCTTGTATATTTGGGGACTCATAAAGAGACTTGATTGCGTTACATGGTTGGTGTGTTTGTCGTGTAATTCGTAATTGTTTATTGTGCATTATACGTCTTTGACGAAGATTTCGGGCGCATAATAAGTCGCAACATCACTTTATCATAATATTTAATACTGTTATGATTATGCATGTAATGAACATTGTGACAATTCGTTTGAGCACCTTACTTGATCTAAAGTATTAAGGATTAATATTTCAGAAAATGAAGTCGTGTAATTACAGAATATAATTTTAATGTGACTTAACACTGTTTATCTGGTGAATGTGACCAAACTTTATACATTCAACGTCTCTATTGAAATAAAAATATTCATTGAAAACATTTGCCATTGGGTAAAAATTGAAGCATAGTTTTGTAATAATAATAACTCGATTTTCGAAAAATGTGACTTAACACAGTTTACCTCTGAGGTGCTCATATGTATGTATGCGCGCGCGCATGTGTGTATACTATATATTATATATCACACACATCACACAGGGTACCTAATAATTTTGATTGATTTAATTACTATAAAAAATTATGGATTTGCTCTGTTGAATCAAAATTTTTTCTAAATTTATTAGCAAATGATAAATATATGTATATGCATGTGGCATAGGTACACACATTTTTTATTTTGAAACCATATAATACGAAAGTTATACAAAATCTATGGAGAAAAAGAATACTTTAACTCTTTCAGTAATTTTTTTTACAAAATGCAAATATTTCACACAAATTATAGATATTTTTTAAATTAATATTAACGTATATAACAATCACATCTTGTGGCAGATTTAATTTGCTCAAAAAATTACATCCCTGAATTTTCGTTACACGATTGTTTATAATTTATAAAAGAATAATAATCATAAAATAAAAAAATCTTGATTAAAATAGGAAAAATAAATTGTTTTATTATATTATTTATTTTATCAAGTTGTTGATTTAATTCCTGCCGTTTTCTGTACTACAGGTAGATGCCGAAATAGCAGTAATACAATAATACCAACATACAACAAAAAACACATTTAACAATTTTTTAACTCATTAATTTGTAAATTAACTCAGCGTCTTATATTAACAAGTAACAAAGTAGGAAATATTGTAATCTCATTCGTTTATTACGACTAAAAAGAATTAATTATTTTGCTAATGTAACCATATATGTTTGGATAACGAAACCTATATGTATGTTAAATTATTTATACAGTATATGCTCTAGACTATTACACACTACATTTATATGGCACATGAGAAAATTGAGAAACCACATCAAAGTTGTACCTGAGATGCATAACCACACTTGATTCTTTTTGTATAATCTCATGATTTCGAGTAATTAGGCTGGCCTCTGCAAGATTTCGTTACTGAAATTATCTGTATGATACAATAATTTGCATTATGTTATATTGTCAGGTACAGATTACAAATGCAACTAATCAAGAGAAAATGTGCATAAAATCGCATAATTGCAGCAATATTTTTATCATTAATAATTTATAGATTGTGTACGGAGAATTTTCTATACAATGAGACTTTTAGATGATGTAAATTCTGTATGTTTGTATTATTTAGAGAGTGACTCAATAATATTTTCCGACATGACTATTATACACATGACGTACATGAACATTGAATGTATATGAATGCATATGAATGTATAAGCAATGAAGCACACTATGTTGCAAAATTAAATGAACAAATACATAACGCCATACGTTTGTTACGACATAATTGACTTGAATTGACACAACAGTCACAACCTATCGTGTACAGATACAGCATGATACAACAGTTTAACATTTTAAAGCGTGTTTAAAGACTTTTCTATTACCTTTAGAAATAATCGCATTAATATAAAGTTTGTTGACGTAAAAAAAAGGTCTATGAATAAATCGAATCATCATAAATCAAATCGTCGCTTTTTTTCTCGTAATTTTGTTTTTGACCTGTTTCGCACGTATCTTCGCCATTAGCTAGTAACAATAGTGGTAGCTAACCAATCTTGTTTAATGAGATCCGATCCTTTCTCTGCAATCATAATGACAGGAGCGTTCGTATTACCACTGCATATCGTCGGCATGATCGACGCATCAATGACTCGAAGACCTGTGACACCGTAAACTCTCAATCTTGGATCCACCACGGCAGTGGGATCGGTTGATGGTCCCATCTTAGCAGTGCCTACAGGATGATAGATCGTCATGGAGATATGACGAATGTGACACTCCCAGTAGGCGTCAGAACCAAATTTGAGATGTTTGCATCCCGGCACTTTGATACGATGAAGTCTAGAGCCGAATTGCTTGAATACCTTTGCTTCACTGACCTTGATAGCGAGTTTCGCACCGTCTACCAGGATGGCGATGTCCATGGGATCGGAGAAGTAATTCGCGTTAATAATAGGACTGTGGAAGGGATTGGAACTTCTTAATCGTATAGTGCCACGAGATTTAGGTCTCAATAGCAGGGGCATGATGGTCCAGGTGTCTCTGTTAGTAATTGGCCTGTAGACAGTGTTGTACACCTCATCTGTCAATCCCAATACCTTCCGAACTTGCACTCCAGCGTCGGAATTAATGGAAGCTGGCGCCATATGGAATTGCACATCCGGATAGTCGACGGAGCGATTAGCGTATTTTGTATTAATGAAAGCGTAACCTTCAACGCCACCTAAGGTCGTCATGGGGCCCCTGCCGTTAATCACGTAGTGCATCATCATTGGGGTCGCCTGAAACCGATCCTGAACTATGGCGACCGGCTTGTCGATTAGGAAGGTCAAACCGCCCATGCCTACGTGATCCTGCAAATTGTTGCCGACTTGGAGGTCTCTAACAACAGGGATACCAATATGTTGTAGATGCTCCTTTGGCCCGATTCCCGAAAGCATCAATATCTGAGGACTATTAATGGCACCTGCTGATAATATCACTTCCTTTCGCGCTCGCACTATCTGCCTGCGGCCGTCCCTGACGAACTCGACGCCGATCGCCCTCATCGTTAACGGGTCAATCACAATTCTCGTCACATGGCTATTCATAGCCGTATGAATGTTGGTGCGTAATCGAACAGGTCGCAAGAAAGCTTTCGCGGTGGAGCATCTGCTTCCTCTGCGAATAGTGCCCTGAGATATCATAAAACCTGTCTGCCGTTCGCCATTTATATCTCTATTCTCGTATCCTATTTCAACGCCGGCTTGAACGAAAGCCACCACCAAAGGTGTCTTCCACGGCGACTCTTGGACCGTCAAGTAACCGCCGGTTGCATGATAGGGGCTTTTTTGCAGATATGGGTTCCGATTATCTTCTGACTTTTTGAAGTAATAAAGTATTTGCTCATATCCCCAGCCCGTATTACCCAGCGATTCCCAGTGATCGTAGTCATGTCTGTTGCCACGTACATATAACATATAATTAAGAACGCTACTACCGCCCAAAACTTTACCTCGCGGCCAATTGCACCGACCGCCCTTCATGGCTAGACAAGCCTTGCCCGTGGGTTCGGTCTTATATTTCCAGTCCAATTTTGTCAGCTGCAAATACGCGGCCAGAGACGGCACGTCTGTGATCTCGTTCTCGTCTGGACCAGCCTCTAGAAGCAACACATTCCAATCCGATACCTCTGAGAGTCGACTGGCGACCACTGCTCCAGACGATCCGCCGCCAATTACAATGAAATCATATTCCATGTATAAAGGGTATCTGTCGATAGGTCGACTTTCAGGATCCAACTGATCGTAACGATAATAAGAAAGGCCCGCGATTAGCAACGGCACGAGCCATAAACTCGTGCCTACCAGGCTGATAGCACCTTTTAAAGCTGAGGTCACCACTATTGCACTGAAGACCATTCTGGTGAAAAAAATTCCACTCCTCGTGAAATTTTAGTAATTTTAATATTCTGATCTGGTTGTCTCGTTGCTTGTCATAATCGTACGTCGGGTGGCTGTGAGTCGATCTTTTTAGTTCCACAACTGTCGAAGGACATATCGACATTTGTATTTTTTATCCTTCTATCAGTTTTGATGGATCATTTCTCTATCCTTCTGTTCTGCAATAAAAGAAAATAAAATATTAAATAAAAACAGAACGTCATTATCTCACTGGATAGTATTAAATTCAATACATAAAAAATTACCGTATATTTGAAAAAAAGAGTAGCATGTTTTGATCTAGATGAAGATTATATCAAATTACACAGCAAACATGGAAAATTATGAATACCACTGTTCTTGTCCATTCAAGAATCTCGTGGATATGACACGACTTACGATATGACACAATTTATAATATGAGTTTGAATTAAAGTCAATTTTAAAGTCACATACAAAATTCAATTATATATCAAAGTTTATTTTTTCGAACTTTAGAGATAAGCGCCCAAACAAAATTACTTTAAATTAAATTTGAGAAAAAGAAAATGTATTGACGCAGCATATTTTATACGGTTGTAGCAAATTTTACACAACATTTATTAATATGAACAAAAATTTTCATACAAAATTTGATACTATACATGTGTTTGTAAAATAATTACGTATATCTCCGCTATGTCGTTATTGCGGTGATATTATATAATAAATGCAGCCATGTAGCAATCGTGTAATAAAATACAAATAGACTGCTACTTTAATTGTCATTTTTTAAATCACTGTTTATAGCCATAAGAATTTAGAATCGTCAACTTTGCTTTTTGCTGCTTTTTTTAACTGCTTCTATAAAAGAAAGTTAAAAGTTATTGAGTAACATACAATTAACGTCGACATATTTCTCATATCTCGGAAGGAAGAGTAACAGGTCGTAGAACGAGGAAATGTGTTTCAATGTGACTTCAAGGCAGCGTTATACCTTGTAGAGGAAGATCACGCTAGCTCAACTTGTATATAATTTAATAAGAGCTACGAGACATTCGGTGGCCGGCTTCTATTCACATGTAAATAGCGCGTAAACGGCGCACAAAGTTATACGCACGGATCCGCCGGAGGAACAAGATGGTGATCTCATAACGGGGAAAGGAGAAAGTGTTTCACTGGCGTAAACCTCTACTCGACTTGTTTCCTTCTACGACTCGTGATTATGTTATGCCTCTCTCTGTCCTCTTCCTCCTTTTTTTGTCTTTTTCGTTCCTTTTTTATTCTATCTCATAATTATATTGCATATTACTGTTAGTCTAAAACGCACGCGCATTTTTAAAAGTAAGAACATTCCTGATATTAGGACAGGTATTAATCTCTCATATAGCACTTGCAGCGCGACAAGATTCTTACGAAAGACAAAGAAAGGCGTGAAATTGCAAATATACATGAAATGTCACGACTAAACAAAACTTGAATAAAAAAAGCAATAGAGATTTTATATTAAAAATTTCCATCCTTGAACCAAATTTTCCAAACACGAGCAAGGTGTTCTAAAAATTTGCAAAAATGACTACAAAAGCTAAAGGAATTTTTAGATTGTGAGAAATTATTAAAGTATTCCATGAAATTTGTGTGTGTGTGT